TTCTGGAGACGAAAAAAGCTCTGTGTGATTTTCATGCTAGTGATGATAAATTATTAGTTAAAGTATGTATAAGAAATTCAAATACAATTAATCTAAATTACATTATTTTATAACTTCAAATGACATAACAAATAGAAATTTGTCATCATGCCCTCAAATATTGTATTACTTTTGAGTTTACAAAACAAATAAAAGAGATTCAGATTGTAAATCTGTTTTGTTTTATATTCAAGTATCAAGCAGCATCAGAGAATATTAATTTGATCAATAAATTAATAAAAAATATATGTAAGTAATTAGTACTTAGTAATATAAAATTTATTGTAATGAAGATTTATTAAAGAAAAATGCTTAATTAATTATAATTATTATTTAAATGATTTAACCAATTTCTATTAATCCTAAAGAAAAAGTGTGGTATGATAAGGGTAATAAATTGTTATATATCATATTTAGGGTCTGCATTAGCCGATATAAATCAATTTCAAGAAGCAATTTAATGTTTTAACGAAACCATTTCTATTAATCCTAAATATGATTTAGCTTTGATTGGCAAGGGTAATTTATGTTTATTGTAAAATTATTAGGTAATGCATTAACTAAATTGGAGCAATATCAAGATGCAATTAATTGTTACACCGAAGCTATTTATATTAATCCTAAATCTGATACTGCATGGAGTGGCAAAGGTAACCCAATGTTCAAAATTAAAAAATAGGATATGCATTAGGCTGTTTGTACAAATTTCATGAAGCAATTGAGTGTTTCAAGTAAGCCATTTCTATTAACCCTAAATATGATGATGCATGGAATTGGAAGGGTAAAAACCTTATTCAATTATAATAATTAGGAGTTGCATTAGAAAAATTGAATCAATATTAAGAAGCAATTGATTGTTACGTTACGATGAAGCAATTTCTATTAACCCTAAAGAGGGCTCGGCATGGAATAACAAGGGTATTTATTTTTAAAAAATTAATATTTAGGTCTCTCATTATACAATTTGAATCATTATTAAGAAGCAATTGAATGTTACAATGAAGCAATATTTATTAACCCTAAATATGTTGAAGCATGGAATGGCAAGGGTAACTGATTAATAAATATTATTTATTAGGTGATTCATTATTCAATTTGACTTAATTTGAAGAATCAATTGAATGTTACAATGAAGCAATATCTATTAACCCTAAATCTGTTGAAGCATGGAATGGCAAGGGTAACTGATTGTTAAATATTATTAATTAGGTAATGTATTAAATTTCACTTAATTTGAAGAAGCAATTGAATGTTACAATGTAGCAATTTCTATTAACCCTAAATATGTTGATGCATGGAATGGCAAGGGTAATTGATTGTTAATTATTATTACATAGGTTGTGCATTATTCGATTTGAATTAATTTGAAGATGCAATTGAATGTTACGATGAAGCAATATCTATTAACCCTAAATATATTGATGCGTGGACTAACAAGGGTAATCTATTATTAAATATTATTATTAAGGTACTGCATTATTAAATTTGAATAAATTTAAAGAAGCAATTGAATGTTACGATCAAGCAATATTTATTAATCCTAAATCTGTTGATGCATGGAATTACAAGAGTATTATATTATTAAATATTATTACATAGGTAATGCATTAACAAATTCGAATCAATTTGAAGATGCAATTGAATGTTACAATGAAGCAATATCTATTAACCCTAAATTTTATTGGGCTTTTGAATATAAAGGTAATGATATTTTTATTCAGGTTTAATCCTACAACAATTATAGAAACACATGGATGCAGTTCAAAATTTTGAATAAGCCCTTAAAATAAACACTGATGCTTATAGATTTAAAAATTAAGGTAAATTCATCTTTAATTTCTTTTTAGCTGATTCATTATTTGAATTACGTAGAAGTTCATAAGCTAAATACTTTTATTTTGCTGCATATGAAATGGATTTGGATCAGAATGCTTATTTAAAAACATAACTATCAAAGTTATGAAACATTATGATATTTTAAATGGTTTAATAGTATATTGACACAAAAAGTACTTCAATTAATCACTTCTATAGTTATTACTCTATAACTTTAAGGAGATAAACTTAATGGGAAATAAAAGATATTTTTTGGTACACAACTTATAAAAGGGTTCACCATTTTCAAAAAGTTTAATTGTCTATTCTTACAATTTCACCAATATTTTTTCCAACATCAACCACAATATTATTAAATTATCATTTTTAAGACTTAACCTGTTTACTCTTTTTAGATTATAAATTTAATAGTATTGCATATCTATAAATATTAATTAATAAATTATGTTTCTGACATCTCATTATTTATTATTTACCAAATATTTAAATAGTATTTAATTAAAATGGTTTAATCACTTGCTTTTAAACGGAATACTGTTGTGCACTTATCAATCTTAGAATTTGAAGATCAAGAATTGAAACAAAAACAACTTATTATCCAAAAAAGTTATTACAATTGTAATTTTGTAATGAATATTCAAATTCACTTTTGATTTAAGTTTTCTAAAAAGCAACTTTCTTTGGATTAAACAATGGTCCCATAAACACGTAGAGTTATATGCACTACCAGATACTAATTTATTTCCATCAGGAGAGTAACAAATTGAAAAAACAGCACTTGAATGACCATCTAATTTGGCTTTTTATTATCCTGTTTTAACACCCCATAAACGGATAGACTCATCCCAACTACCAGATGCTAATGTAATGCCATCAGGAGAGTAACAAATTGAATAAACTGCATTTGAATGACCATCTAATTTGGCTTTTTATTTTCCTGTTTTAAGGTTCCATAAATATACAAAATTTCCACTGCTGAAAGCTAATGTACTAGTATTATGTGAGAAGCATACTGATTTTACTTCTTACTTTACTTTGATTCTAGAATTTACTTTTCCTGTTCTAACATCCCACAATATAATCGAATTATCATCACTACAAGAAGCTAATGACTTACCATCTGGAGAAAAGCATACCTAAACGACTCTTCCACAATGACCATCTAATTTATTTAACTCCTAAAAAAAAAAATTAGTTTCGGAGTGATGTGAGCGATGCTAGCAAAAGAGAGGTACAAAAAAAGATTATACTTTAAACAGGAATTAGGGGTACATAGGGGGTAGCCAAACCCTACATGCCATGGGAGGTAAAAGGAAGAATACAAGTAGAGGAAAAAAGAGAGAAGTAGAGGAGCAATAATTGGAAGGATGAGGACAAATTTTTCAGAGAGAGATGTGAAGTTTTTGTTTTAAATATTAAAATAAAAAATTATTGTATATCAAGTTGTAACTTTAAAACTTTTAAGAGAAAATACTACATTTATGGAATATAAATAAATATAGTTAATTTTAGAAATTTACTGTTTAATAGGGTTAAATTCATAGTTATAGGAAGAACAATTTTGTTATTTTTTAATATTCTCAATTATGCTTATGAAATCCAATCTTGGGTAATTTTGTAATTTTATAAACAATTAATAAATTGAACTAGTTGACTGATATTATCGTTGTGTAGATATTAATTAATTTTGTAAAAAAATCAGTTTGAGGTAAGATTACATAGTTCTTATCTTAATGATTAATACTGGTTCATTCAGAATAAGAATTAGAAAATATGGTAAAATTAGTCCATCGTTCAGTATTACAATTTGACACATTTTTTGCATTTATCAAATACACTTTCTCCAGCTACAAAATTAATTTGTCTAAGTATGGCAGTTCCAGTTCTTCACCTAAACAGAAAGATGCTCCATCTATATACATTTGAGTGAACAAAAAGTTTGCATAGAATCAAAAGCCTCATTAAGAATGAATCCGATCTAGATTTGCACAAGTGTTACCAATATTATATGCAATTAGCAACTTAACTGTTGATTTACTGACCTGACTTACATTATGAATCACAAGGTAATTGGCCTCTAATTTTGCAAATGGGTGCGTTTCCAATAACTTTTTACAAGAAAAATTTACGGCAAAAAATTAAAATAACTTTTTAAAAGTTCACTCATTAGCCACTGAGAAATCCATGACTCTTTGCCACAGACTCATGGTAGTAGAAAGGGGACTCCGTCTCCTCCCACACCTGCTTTAATCAGATAACAAGGTATTGAAGACGTAAGAATTCTTACCTAACCCTGACCATGACCGTAGGCAAGATGGGTAAGCCATTTCCGATGAGGATGGCGTTTTCAGGAATATCTACACAAGAACCGAAGGAACTGTATCGTTTAGAGCTAGCCCCTCTGAATTCCAAAATGGGGATAAGCATCTAAAGACACTCTGGACACTGTTAAAAAAAGTGACGCTCCGTCATCATACAAAATTTGATTAATTCCCCAATTAATAAAAAAACCCAACCCAGGTAATTTTTAATTCTGGTAATTTATGTTTAATTTTACTTTTTTTACTTTCCCAAGACGGGTTTCGAACCTTGAAGGCTTGAAAAATAGTTTAGGGATAGGGGATGTAAGAGATACATAGATGGAACTATAAAAATTGCTCCTAACAATTAGAAAAGTTATTTATCTCGCCTGGATGTAATCATAACTGACTTTCCTGGGTTGACATAGAGAGAGAGATAATAATTTTAATATGTGGGAAAAAAGAGAATTAATTAAAGGACTTTAGATCCTTAGTAATATCCTGCCTCGATGTGGTCATATTCTCCTGCTTCAGTGCAGGTACTGGCGTCCCGAGGATGACATAGAACGATGTGAAAGGGCGGAGTCTAGACTTAGACTCACACTAGCGTTTTGTCCTCCCGAATATTTCAAAGCTTAGCAATTCGAGGAGGTGCTGTCATTATGGGCAAAATATTGACATAGCAGAAAATAAAGATCATTATCTGTTTGGCCTTCCCGTTCTCAAGTGATTTATTCTATATTTATTATTCATTCATTTACGGTCATTCTGTCGCAAATTACAATCAAAACTTAGTTGAATGCATCATTATGTGTTACACGTTGATTTTATAAAAGGCAATAAATTTTTACTATTGACCAGAATGTAAATCGTATTTTGTCAATGCCATGCTTATGCCACTCCATCTGTTGAAAATATAGGATTCTGAATTTTATTTGCACTCTTGCTATATTTATTCTGACAATTACTATTGAACCTGCACAATAGTATCTTTCTTAAGTCATAATTATTCATTTAATATTTCAGCACTGTCTGCACTATCACAGTTAAAAAAGCGTTGTTTTTTTTGATCAGCTGAAGCTGTTTTTCAAATGTAAACTTTGTAAACCAGTAGAGCTCCAGTAAGTAGTTACAATTCTCGTTTACTATGGTTATCATAAAATATTTGAACCTTTACTTAACGTTCTGAGTATTATTCAAAGTCAATCTAATACTAACTATAAAAAAAAATTATGGCTGTACATTTTCTTAGAAATAAATTTGCTTAGAGTATAAACACCTCTGCAGATATGGTAAATATGCTTGAGGAAAATTTAAGAATTGAGTAAATTTATTATGCAAGGATCCGGCAATCCTAACTGTCTCTTTGTCAAAATACCTTGAATTACACGTTCTGATTGAAGTATATGCAATTTTTGCTTCTGAGATTTAGCAGTTGCTATACTTTTGATGAGTGATTCTATCTATAATCAAAAAAATGTACTACATGTAAACATTGATGGATACTATTTAGACATTTTGCTGCAACAATTCAGACACTTGTGCTTAGACTGCAGTTAATTTAAGAGTGCCATAATCCTTATTTATTTATTTATTTTATAAATCATACTCCACTTACTTGTCTTATACATCTTTTAGTATCTACTCTATTTATTGTTCCAGGCTTCTCTTCAGATCCGTATTAGGTTTGCTTTTAATGGCTTTTTCTAATTTATCCTAGATGTTTATTCCATGATATTCAGATAAGTGCATTAATCCACATAATGTTGTTAGAAGTATTAATGTGAAACCTCATATAGGCCTACTCTTTGTCTGGATTTTATTTGAGAATTTCATTTAAGGAAAAGATTAAATGATTCAGCACAATCTTAATTTCTGTTATTATTATTTTGATATTTTAAAAATTGTTCTTAAAAGGTTTAATTATTAAGAAATTGCAAGAAAATACTCCTGATAAACAAGCTGTAAGGAGACTTTAAACACCCATTAGACCCTAGATTGGGACTAAATTAACAATGAATAAAGTTGTTTTTATCAACAAAATTGTAAAATTTCATTTAGCTCCTTAATCAGTTTAGGACTTAATCCCCTCTACCAATACGGATAAATTGACATCTGCGTTCTTTTTTGTTTAGATAGCAAGAAAAATGCCTAAATATCTTTGTAATAAGAGCTAGAAAAGAGATAGTAGTGTTTAAAGTAGACTTAGTATTAAAATTTACTAATTATAAAATTGAAGAATATGTCATGTCATAAAAGTTAGAGGGAAAGTTCTGATAAGTCCAGATTAAATAAAATACTAATAATATTTTCTTGCAATCTTCTAAAGGAAAAATGTAAATTTAGCAACTTTGAAATAATAATAATCTTTCTGATAAACTGTTGCCAATTTTTATAATTTTTGAAAACAAGAAATTTTTAAAACAAATAGGAAATTATATAATAGAGGGATCCTATCATTAACATAACTAAAAGCATTTAGAGGTTTTACAAAAAGTAACAATCAATTTCATAATATTAAAATTTCCATTTAGTCTATATCTTTGGAATTTAGAAATTAAATAAGTCTTTGTAAATTCTGATCGATTGATAATTTATCAATAATTGGAGTAAAAGAGCCAATAGTAAGGATCTCAAAATAACTTTCTAAATTTTAGGGGAAGACAATATTGTGAAATTTCATATATGATAATTATTACAGCAATCAAATATATTCCATAAAATCTCTAAATTCCCACATAAAAAAGAAATTCCACTTATACTTATGATGAAATACAATACAATCTTAATCAGCATGGAAGTCTTAGACATAAGGGACAATTGATAAGCTGACATCTTGTAAGAAGACCGAAATTCTAATTTTGCCTCCTTTGAGAACAAGGTGTTCCCTTAGTTATTTATAATGTTTTTCACTATAAACTTTGACTTATTAAGTACTGATTGAGATCATCGATTTGATTTCTATATCATAGTCGTTATCTTTAACATTTAGTATTTGAACAAAAATTAACTGCAGAAATTGTTCTTCACTAATGCCTTTTTCATTAAGACATACAGGTTCAAAAAATGATAATTTAAACTCTTGATATGTTGTATCGGTTTTAGACAGCTTGGTCAATATAATTTTAGGTAGAATTGCATAAGAGCAAAAACTAAAATTATGGTCTCTGGAGCATTTCAATTATTTTTAACTTTGCAAGTATTAGTTAATCCATCATTATTTTAATTGTTTCCATCATCACTTTATTCTTATTGCTATACTAAATATCATCTCCTCATATATTTTTACATTTTGGTTCATCTTCTACAATCCATCCTTACATAATATACATTGCCCTTGGAAACAATCTATATTTCGTCACATTAGTAAGAACACTAATAGCAACCATCAAATTTAATATTATTTCCATCATCGTATTATTCATTTCCAACTGCAATACCATCACAACATTTTGATGAACAAACACCTTCAACTAATTACCATTCAATCTTATTACATTTTTAACACTATCTGCAATTAAAAATATTGCATCTTTATGGACATTGAACTTGACATTCATAACAACCATCATATGGTAAGTAATTACCATCATCACATTATTCATCCTGATTTGTAACTATGCCATTGCCACAGTAATCAATACATTAATAGGAGAAGCACTTACTTAGATTGATATCCCAAATGAATTGAAAATTCTTACTATCTGCATAGCAAGCTTCTTTAATTTCATATCCTAACAACTCTGCTTATTAGTGCATCATCCGTCCTAATAAGCCGTACAATAAGGCAAATATGAATTGCATTCCATCCATCCTGATAGTAACATCTTGCCAGTCTTATTTTAAAACACTTCAAATCCATTTATTACGCATCTCTTGTCTTCAAATATAGAAGCACAAGCTGAATCTATTGCATAATAGTAATCGCCTTTTTGACAAGTTGAAAGGAAAATTATACATTCAGAATGAGTTGAGGCATTAGAAGGTCCATTTGGGCATATTCATTATTAATAGATATTTCTCTCCTCATTCCAGAAAAGCTCTACTCTTTTTAAGTTAATTTATCCATCACTGATGCACTGTTGATAATTATCGCTCATACAAAATGATTAGCCAATTCGCATCCATCTAAATTTTTGTTTACAGTGCAGGAATCATTAAAAAATACTAATGGCAACTAAGTGCTGTATTGATTGAATTAGGCTGATGAGCATTCCTTTATTTTAAGGTTACTTATTACTTATTATTTATTATCAATACATATATTTTTACGATAACATTATTCTTGGATTGAATAACTATTGTAATCATCCAACTATTAGCATCCATTCAAAATAATAAGATTCACATTAAAGTGGTGGTGTTTCTGGTATTTTTCTTACTTAAAGAAAAATGTAGGATAAAAGAACCTCAACTAGGAACAAGATCTTGTGAAAGAGTTGTTAACAGTAGTGCTACTAACTGATCTTTTAGCATCTGAACATGTAGCGGAATTATACTATAAATTTTATTGCTTTCACATGCAAGCCACCCTCTAAGATTTGTCAAAGTTTTTTTGAAGGGATTTATCAACGCATTTATTTGTTTTAAGGTTCAAATAGTTTCAGATACAAACATTCAGGAGGAAAATATAACAGATGATGCATTTAAAGTAGTATATGTTTTAAGTGCATTAATTTCTTGCAAGAATAGCACTTTTGGTTGATTAATTAAACACAATTTAAAGATCCTTTAATTGCATCAGTAAGATTAAAGCATGAATGCCTCACATTCATCTATCTCTGTATTTAATATAGAATTTTTGGATACCCATCTTTTCTTTGATCCAATATGTTTGAATAACTTCTTTAAGTGATACAAAAAAGGAACTACCTACCTATACATAATGTACCTATACATGATGGCCATTTTGCAGAATCAATTATGTAAGAATTAAAACATCCTATTCTTTAGTACTATCAATCTCTAATAGTGCAAGCTGAATAATTGCTGACACCATACAGTACCATAAGTTACAAAATTGGATATTTATTTATCTGACCAAATTGGAAGAGAGATCGCCGCTCAATAAGATCTAGTATTGCAACGTTTAACTTATAGCACTAATACAAGGGTTGCAATCTACATTGCCTGCCTAACTGAATTAAGATGATTATAAGAGCAGTACAACTATTACTCCAATTGCACAAAAATGCAGGTACCATTAAAACAACAACAGCTATAGTATTTGCAGGAGCAACACTAATCGATAAAACTACTGCATTAGCAGCCCAATTAGTGCAACAGAAGTAGAAATATCATTATTTATATAGGATTTGTATCACATTTGATAACTAGATTCTTCTATTAGAGTCTGAATTAAGTTATTAGATTTTTCCACTATAACCAACATACCAGATTCTGATACATAATGTTGTTCCATTTTATTTTTTAATTATAAGAATAAACATTTGTTTGTATTTAATTGTTTCATCTGAAAGGAATAATTTTATAGAATGAAGATATTAAATAAATAAAATATTGAGAGCCGTTTAGAGTCTAAATATATAATAATAATTTTAACACTTTTAAACTTATCAGCATAGTTTTTAGTATTATAGTTTATGACTCAAAAGTAGACATTGTTATTGCCAAGTCTTGAAAATGATGGCAGTCATTCTGAATCAAATCACAATGCTTGTCGTCTTTTTACAATTCCTACACCACACACGACTGGAGCGCTTGCTGATGAGAAATCTCCTTAAGCGTAGCTGTCGGCACACAATTTACAAGCATTAGCTTTTCACTAATTAGAAGAAGAATTCCTTGTACTAATGGGGGGACCTATATTTAAATCCTCTGTTGTTTTAGGATTAGGATTTGCAATCATTTGAAGATGCCTGTGGTGTGCATCATCTAGCTCTCTTTTTATTGAATGTTAGTTTTGATCTACAAAATAACCATGTTAAGATCTAATGTGATGCCAATATCCATCAAAAAAGGTGTAATCACAAATGAATTTATTAAGAATGAATAATAAGTTTGCAACCTCAGTTAATGTTGATCATTTAATGAGATATTATTTCAGTTTAATCCAATTATAGTCGGGTATTTTGCATCATTCAGATGCCAACCTAGGATGGATCAATGCATATTATAAATGCACGCATTGATTATAAGATGATGCATATGAAGACATAAACTTAAAGATGAGAATATGCAAGTAATAAGAATCACCGTACTTATTGAAACCAGAATCTAATGAAACATGCATGAAACATGCATGCTACTGGTAAAACTCTGTGATTTAAAAAGATAACTTGTGTTCTAAGCAGTACAAATTTATGTGCATGAAGTACTTGATAAATAGTAAGTGATGCGATCAGTCTAGTCACCAGTAGATGTCAACAAATGGTTCGTTTCCAGTATCTTTTCAATGTCAGATATACCTTGAGGAAGTCGTCATTTCATCTTTCGTTGTTTTGTTCAGGATTATAATTTTCATCACTATTTTTACAGATCCATCTGTCAAAACTTTCTGTAGACATGTTATAGTTACTCCTCGATCTAATAAGACATTTGATGAGCAATATTGCAAATTTTTAACCCAAATATTAGGTACCAAATGTGATCAATGAACAATAATATGTAAAGCTTTGTATCTTCATATTTAGACAGAATTATCAATATCTTAACTATAAAGCAAGCAACACTGTAAGAAAGAACAAGCAACATAATTGCTCCATGTAGTGAATTTGACTGAAGACACTCAAAAGTCTAATAATAAACAACTTTGATACAACACAAGTGTACCACAATTAAACACATTACTAGATGATAGCCTCATATCATCCTTTACTGCAAACTCCGAACGAATTAGTGTAAATAATCAGATATTATGTAATAAGTTGGGTAATTATAGTATAGGCGATTGCAGAAGAAGTTTAAGAACAATTTGTCCTGAAAAAGGATCTTAACTAAATCAGGTGCTCTATTTCAAAAGCTTTCTTTTCATCAGGTTTGATTCAAGCTATTATGCATACCATGGTCTCGGTATTTTGAATTAAAATAGTTGATATTGGCTTATCTTGTTATCACATAAATCAATTAATCAGAGGTCAAGATTTTCATTTCTCTCGAGATTAGAAATTTAGTAAGCTTCATCGCAATATTATAGAATTTTTAATTATATGTAGCGATAAACTATTACTATATATAGTAAACTCATTCAAGGCGTAATAGTAGATTGCCCATAATCAATTCAGCAGCAAACTTCTCTTCTGATTCTAATATTCCCTTTTGATAAGACAGAATCCTTCTTCAAAAAAGATGCAGAGGTTATTAATTTAGAAACTTAAAATAGCCTAACTTTTTCAATAGTTTGATTTTTTTCAAGTCAATCTTCCTACCCTCCTTTTGATTAAGTGAAACTGACTTAATAAGTTTAGCAAGTAGATTGTTTAATTCAAAAATATAGAAGAAAGCAGCAGTTATTCATTAATTAGAAGACATGTCAGTATAGTTTTGATAATACACTCATCAGAAACATTAACATTTGATAAAGTATTGCTGTTATTTAATATATCAAGGACACCAAAACATATATATTTCTAAACATTCCGCTCAAGGATTACATGAGCTATCAGAAGTAAAAAGAAATCAACAAATTTTGGAGATATGATACAAGTATCAGTACACCCATTCTAAGATCAGCAAGCAGTTATAAAGAAGTAATGTATATAATATGCTTTTAAGAAGATGATAAACATCAACCTGGAATAAATGATAAAGTACTTATTTCTTTAGTTGCATTATAGTTATGAAGTACACCGATCGTAGTAATTAACATTTGATATATGTTCCATCATTTGCTTCAGAATTCATTTAATACATATTGATTAATTATAACAAAAGATGAAGTTAGCTTAATTTTTGTAAGATGATAGAATCAGCAACAATATGATTATATTTGGTGATGTTGCTGAAGTTGGAATGAAGTCACCAAGATCTGAAGTGGTTTAAGAACAATGCCAATAGCCGATGCAGCTAAAAAATTTATAAAGTTTAATATTTAGTTGTTATGCATCTTGCGATTGACCGCCCAATATAATATTAGAAAGGTTCGTCATAAAATTTAAGCAGAGGTATTATACAGTTTGCACTGTTAAAACAAGGATGTTAAATATTAAAGGCACTTGGAGCAAAGGTCTCATATCACTTTCTGTAGTTTTAAATCAGCAATAAAATTTGCAGGGCATCCATCTGAGCCTACACCCATTGCATGAGATGGCAATCAAGTGCTGCTGGCAGTTCATATTGCACACTTATCAGAATATTTATTATTGGCACCCATGTAATATAAGTAAATTTATTTCCCAATAAATTATGCATCTTTTTTGAGCATGAATCTAAAAGATTGCTCTTAGAATAGGATCAAAAGGACAACAATAATTATTGGTCTTGTCTTTATTATACAGGCTACACTGACCATGCATGTATTATTTAACTTGAGTCCTTCTAGTTTAACCGATGCAAACTGTTCTAACTTAGGCCATGTCTAGCCACTTGTTAATCGTACTTAAGTTACAATTATCAAGTATTTAAAATGAAAATAATCGGAATAGGAAAAATAGGTTAAACAAAGAGTTTAATAATAATGGTGTTGATTATAACTAGTATTGATTGATAAAACAGAAATGAAGGTTTGCATATGAAGTGAAATCATCAAGTACATTAATCAGCATTTGCCATAACTCTTTTAACTTGAATTATAGGGATCTTTAATGCTGATGTCCTAAAATTTCTCAGATATGATATAAATTCAGATGTTCGTTTTCGAAGGAGCAGCACATTAAGTCCATGTAATAAGATCAGTAGTGGTCAAATGAAATGCTAATTATACAAGAGAGTATGAATTCGAATGAATAACTGTATGAATAGGTATCAGCCAAACAAGATGAAACTGAGCGAAAATCAACAATATTCCCAGANAATACACTCATCAGAAACATTAACATTTGATAAAGTATTGCTGTTATTTAATATATCAAGTACACCAAAACATATATATTTCTAAACATTCCGCTCAAGGATTACATGAGCTATCAGAAGTAAAAAGAAATCAACAAATTTTGGAGATATGATACAAGTATCAGTACACCCATTCTAAGATCAGCAAGCAGTTATAAAGAAGTAATGTATATAATATGCTTTTAAGAAGATGATAAACATCAACCTGGAATAAATGATAAAGTACTTATTTCTTTAGTTGCATTATAGTTATGAAGTACACCGATCGTAGTAATTAACATTTGATATATGTTCCATCATTTGCTTCAGAATTCATTTAA